CAAATCGGCCACAAAAGCGAAACCAATCCCTCTGGAGGCCAGCCACAAAATCATTAAAGGAAAAGTACACCCAGAAATAAAACTACTTACAAGGGCAGCCAAGTTGTCACATATTGCTTGTCTTTATCGGCTCTCGCCAAAATAGCGTCCAGGGCTTTATTCTTTTAGGGTTGAAACAAGGACAAACACACAGGAGGACCCACTGTGACTGCTTAGTGCTTCACAGTTACAAATAAAAGAATAAAAGTACATAAAAACAGACTGAGATGAGTTTCCTGATCTGGAAAGTGTTAAACACACAGCAACTCTTATCCAACTGTCTCACTTGTGAAATATGTGTGAAACACATAAAGTAAACAAGTCTAGCAGTAGTAATGAACATAAATTGAATAGTCACAGTCTTGTAAAATGTCTTAATCGACAAACATTTCAGTAATACACATGCAAAAAGGCAGTTTCTCACCTCAGCTCTCAACATTAAAGCATTTTGCCCCATTTAAGGCATCGACTCTGTGCTTCTTGGCCAATTACACCCAACTCTCATGTAAAAACTAATCTCATTTCCGATTCAGACTCAAAGCATAATCTATCTCTCTCTCTCTCTCTCTCTATATATATATATATATATATATATAAAATGTGTGTGTGTGTTTTCCTTTCTGAATACTGAGCAGCTCCCTCCTAGACTGCAGTGGAGGAGGTATGGGTGAATCAGTGACAGATCTCTGGTGATGACTGTTGACATGCAGGAGAGATAGAGAGAGGCAGAGTGTGTTTGGCAGAGAGAGGATAATATTGCCATGGTGCTGGGGGTATTAGAGAAAGTCATTACTGTCCATCATCAGGCAAATGAAGACATGTTTAAGTGGAGATGAATAGCCTCATTGATGGGGAAGGCTTGTTATGGTAGATGTGTTCAGAAAAGCAGCTTTGGGGGGGGGGGGTTCATATTTCAATAAATATTTGATGGGTGAGGACAGCTGGATTAGTGTGTGTATGTGTGTGTGTGTGTGTATGTATATATATATACACACACGTTGCTATAAGCGTTTGCATATCTAAGATGAGCTATTTGAAAGGGGTTTTAAATGAGGGAGAAGATCATTTTCTCACTCCATCACCCAAGTGGGGAAATTTTATTTTCTCCTTCTCTGCACCATTCTCTCCGTCTCTTCTATTATCCCCTTTACCGCCATCCATCTCGCAATCTGCCCCTCGGAAAAGCCGAATGAAGGGATGTGTTGTGTGGGCTCAGCAGTACCCAAGCCAACCAAGCTGATCGGAGTTATTTGTTCCTTTTTATTAAATAAATCAACATGGGAGAAAAAAATCTAATGGTGAGCAAAAAACTGAGAAATTACAGGCAGCCATAAATGCCCAGCCCCTCTAAAAGATTACTTTAGCTTCTTTCCAGTGCTTCTTTTTTATCACACAATAAGCGTGAATTCACATGAGTTTATGTGAATCTGCTCTTTCAAGTTTGTTTTAGGAGGAGAAACCAGTCCTGTGATACTTAGTGTTTGCTTCATTAATCTGGAGGTCAGGCCAGACTAACAGAAATGAATCCAGTTTTCATTGCCAAAGTTGTGGCACATAAGACTACAGTATGTGTTAAACCCATGTGCAACAACTTCCGCTTGTCACAAACATAACTCTGCAGCAAAAGTGCTCTCTCTAAATGGATTGTTGGTTGTCATATTGCGCATTACAGTGTGCAGTTTTTTGCCCTGTTGGGTGATCTGTCTGTACTCCGTTCTGGTTCCAGCCGAGCTTTTCTCTTTAGATCTGAAAAAGAGTGCACCTGTATCGTCATCAGTCATGGTCGTGGCTGGGAAACGGCAACATCATAATTAATCGCCGGTGGGGGGGCATCCACTGCCTGACTCAGCACCTCTAGTCTCTGATCTAAATTCAAAAGATCGCCGTGAGTGTAGGCAGGCCTTAACTTTTGGACTTTTAAGAATATCTTCATCTTTTCTCAGGCAAGAGAAGCTACTAAACATAATTTTTATTCATCCTTTTTTACCTTCTCATTCATGTTCAAGGTCATTGGGAGGACTAAAGAATGGCCCTGTAAAAAATGAGATAAAATATAGCAAAACGCTCTGAACAGGGTTCTTCAACCCACTTAATAATACTCAGACATTAGAAGAAAAATCAAAATGTGCAAATTCCACACAGAATTCGCTTCGTCCAGGAAATCAAAGCTTAGGGCGCTGATATTACATGCATGTGAAATAATGCTTAAACCACCTTTTTGTTGCTGTTTTTGCAGAGCAAAAGTAACTACTCTGTTCAAGAGCACCTTGTCCAAAATGTTCAACGGCCTCTGGATATTTTATAGGTTACAGCGGATGTAATGTATCATCTTAAATTGATTTTCTGAGGGTGGCTTGATTTTATGCCCAATTAACTATTCTGATATTGAAGGATACAGAGGATGTCGATAATGAATTACTTAAGTAGTTTTGACAGGTGGGCACAAATGAAAGATTGATGACAGCTGTGAATAATGCACTCTTCAATCAATAAACAAGGCTTAGTCTGTAAAATTGATGCTTTAAATGAGGTCATGATGTGTTTTTAACACACAAACACTTAAAACATGGGTATAAAATTCAAATTCCTTTATTTTATAATAGTTAGCAAAGGGTTTAAAGCTGAGCTCATCTGTGCATTTCCATTGTTTTATGTTGTGGGCAGAACTCTATCCATAGGAGCTTTCAGTGAGCAATGTGTGTTTAACGGTTTGCTAATGTCCACTTCAGCAAGACACATAATTAAGATGAACTCATGTTTTTTTCCCAGGAATTAATGGGGATTTTAGGACAGAGCATGTACTATACCCCACAAGGCTAAAAACACATTCTTTATTTTCCAGTTGCATTATAAATGTGCTGATAAAAATATACATTTCTGCTTTGTGTACCTGTTTTATGAGTCATACTTACCTGAACTGGGACATCAGTAAATCTCACCTGCTTTTATTCAAGGTGTACACAGGGTGAAGCTTAGAAGTATGATAAAGATAACAAGCTTCTAAAAAAGAAAATAATGATGAGGTGGATTTTAATTTGAGATCATTTCTCAAGTTGCTTCTCTAAATAAGGTTCCTGAGCAAGTATAGAAGTGCAGAGGTAACGAATGATAAACTGTGCCCCCTGCCTACAAGCTGATAAACTGGAGCAGCTGTTTTAGCTTTGCACCTGCTCCAAACTCTGAAGTATCTTTAAAACTGTGTGTGTGTGTGTGTGTGTGTGTGTGTGTGTGTGTGTGTGTGTGTGTGTGTGTCCTGTAGTATCATTAGTCCTCTGGATGCTTTTACAGGAAGTTGACATGACAGGACAATAACAGTTCCTCGAGCTTGACAAGGGACAATCTACCCAGAGTGCTGGAACAGACTGTTAGGACAACCTTTGCCGTGTAACTGTAACCTGAGTGCCATGTCAAGAAAATGCATTTAGAGAACACATTTAAAAACAATACATGTTGAGCAAAGTGCTATACAGAGAAACTAATAATGCAGCTAGTTAAAGTTGCACTAAACAATGTTTTTATATAAACAGTAAAACTGGTTAAAGCTGCACTGATGAAGTAAAAGATCTATTTAATAGTGAGAAATCCACAGATAATTATTATCCTAGGTCAGTGAAGCATTTTAGCGTCTTTCAGCTCAATGTTTTTGTTTTAAAGCCCACAACTTTACACAAGACATATATTTTCCTCATGACATGACAGTAAATATCTGATTTTAAATTTGTCAGGTGGACACAAATGAAAGATAATGTTGCTATGTGTCTGCTGGATGTGTAAATAGACAGCCATTTACAGACATTGTTGCCATATCAACTTTATAAGATGATAATATATCAGTGTTGTGTTTACAGCTCGTAGTGCAAATTAAAATAACATGTAAATGGCATAATAAAAAATTAATTTTAGTCATAATTATTATTCATTCATTCTTAATGGGTTCTTCAGATAAACTGGGTAAAGGGGCAATGACTTGGGCCAGTATAGACACTATAGTCAGCATGTCCTTGATTTAGTGGGTTAATGAGGCTGCAATAAAAGGACGGGCTGATTAGTGTATTCATACAGTATACTCTACACACAAGAAAAAGTCCAATTTCTGGTAGGGAGTGTGTGTGGTGTTAATGACACAGCTAATGAGGCTATTGGCAAGTTAATGAGATGAGCTCAATATCTGTAGTACACACAAACACACACACAAATACACTTCCTCCATCTTTCCTGCAAGTTATTTTCTTTTCTTTCTTTTGCTAACATTCCTGACTATTGTATTATTTATTAAATTGATGTTTTCCATTTTGTACAGTCAGTGTGTTGATTTTTTCCTTTACATTCTCAACCTGTTTATCCCTGCATCATCCTCTTATTGATAACCTGGAGTTTTTCTCCTCCCTCCTGACTGGAAAGTGGCGTTAAAGAACGGATAACCATTTTGCTCCACTCTCAGGCTTCCTTCCACATACAGTACATACGCACACCTGTTTCATCATGTCGGAAGGTTGCCAGTGTCACAGCACCTACCTGAAGCTCTGGAAAAGTGAAATTCAATTTCCTTTCTTGGAGAAATCAGTCAGACAGAAGCGCTGTCAAGCTGTCATGTGATTCTATCAGAGGCAAAGCCACATCCATCCTCTTGTAAAAATGAAAGACCTACTTGTTATTCACTCGTCTGTCTCCTTGACATCATGCAGCATACATACACAATTTTTTAATCTACCACAGGCTGAAATGTCCATAAAAAGCACTTTTAATGGGATTAAGGCAGAGTTTGTTATGGCTGATTCTTATTCCTTTGATGCCGTCTGCATGTCTATGTGTTTACAGAATCATCAATACTGATCTTCTTTTTGAAGAGGTGGTTGTCCACAACAGCGTATGAATCACTGGAGCCTTTGCTTTATCTGGTTAAATGTGTGTGTTATTTTTTTAATTCCTTTTTTTTTTTTTTTTTTTTTCTGTGTTTGCAGGAATCTGGGAAAGTCAGGACTCAGAGTATCTTGCTTAGGACTGGGTGAGTAGACTGCACTCTCTGCTTCACGACCCAGATTACATTTCTCCATCAGGCCTTACTTAGGAAACAACTGCACAAATCACATGGACTAAACAAATGTATTGTTTCTCTGCTGTTCTGGAGCATATATGTTAGATGATGTTACATTAAGTCACTTACACACTTAATTAGGAAACTTGTTAATAATGGGAAAAGTATAACAGATGTTAAATTTGGTTTGTCCTGTTTCATTATTACACTAACAACTCTACTGTAGTTCAGTCCCCTACATCCTGGTTCAAACAGTTACAAACACACAAACACTTGCAGCATTCTCACTGATATGATAGCTCTGTATGTGTCTGTGTGTGTGTGTGCGCATGTGTGTGTGGCTGTATCACTGTGGGTTGCTGGTAAAAGTTCTTCACTTCTTGTACAAGAGAGTCAAACCCACCCCCAACTCAGCTTCAATATTTAGCATGAGAGTGGGAAGAAGACAACACACACACACACCCTGTAGCCAGCATACCTATTTCTGCCAATGTGAAGAGCTCTCAAACAACAACAGAGGACTGTGTGTCCACAAAAAATATTAGCCCAATGTTCCCTGGCTCTTTTATTGGAAGAACTCCTGGACGTGACACGCAAACACATTTGGACCAATAAAATGCAGTAGAAGTCAGGTGAAGCCAGCCAGGCGCATACAAGCTCTTATACAAACATGCAAGACAATAAAGACTGATAAAGTAAATCTAGGATAAATTATCAGTAGTAGTTCTCTAGTAAATTACTGGAATATTATTATGGATGATAATGTGGTGACCTGACAAGATGACATCTCAAAAACGTGGTTTCTTGCTGGGAGCGGGTGGTGGTAATTTGTCACGTGACGGCCATCGTTGTCTTTATAATACAACAGGTTGTAATAGCGCTACAAATAGCTCCTTTAAATAAAACGGTACCATTGCATTTAGGAACTGAAATGTACCTGAAAGGCAGAGCGTAGAATTTTATATGACAATTTTGTTATGGTTTGTAGAAATTGCCCCCCCCGCCGCCCCCCCCCCCCCCCAAAAAAAAAAAAAGAAAAAAAAACTGGCTTTGCAATGTATTTTTAAAATGACTCATGACTGAGCTTTAAATATATATATTATTTACAGTGCATTTGTAAAGTTTAGACCCCATCAATATGTCCACAGGGTGCACTGAGAACCAAATACATATGCTATATACTATACATAGTATGATACTAATAATAAACACACAATTAGATACATGGTTAATTTATGCATGATATCCATATGTATACATGAGTCCAGTTCTTGAAGTTTGAGAGAAAATATAAATCATCACCAACTCGGTTCCACAGAAATTAAAATATTTGTTTTCTCTGTCCAATTTCTGGTGGAAAACCCACTGAAACTGTACATGACGTTCCAATTATAGTCTCTGCTCTCTAATATCATTTATAAATAAGTCATGTATCGTCTCCAGAGTCCACAGAGTGTGTTTTAAAGCGAAACATTGCTCAACATCATTGAAACCAGAATACATAGACATGAATCACATGATAAATAATGAACGTAGCAGCTTGGTCCAAACAATATAACTCAAGTTGTTTGGGCTTACAGAACAAAAAGGGTATCTCTATTATCTTAGGCACTATTTTCATATTGATGAGATTTGGTTCTGTGAATATAGTAAAACCAAATGTGAAAAAAGGTGTTTTCATCTACCGGGAAGATAATAGCACAACCAAAAGTATGACATTTCAAGAGGTACAGTTAACAGTATTTCTGTGTCAGACCTGCAGGATGGTCAGGATTAGATAAAACACCATTCTCACTGTTATCTCTGCTCAGAGGGAGCCCTTCAGGGTGCAGCTCAGCCTCCATCCCGTAAATCGGATCAAAACTTCTGGTGCTCATTGGGACATGAGCTTTACCCAGCTTAGACAGGCTGACTTTGACCAGTCTTTACCCACAGAGGATGCTTCAGTCGTGGTTTTAAGAGTGAGGGTTTTTTTAGTCAGCAGTGTTAGAGGAGACATATCCTGCAGAATTTTTAGCTCTACTTTTGGCATCCTTTCTAGTCCAGGTTTAAACTTTTGTTGATTCTTTATCAACACTCCCAATTTTAGGCTCTTTTCAGTAACACCTGTGCATCTCCTTCTAACCGCTACAAATCCCAGAGTGATGTCTAAGTAGTACTTCTGCTGAATAAGCTTCCTCCTACTGACTGGGGAGCTCTTGCCAGTCTCATATATGGAGGCATCTTTCTTGCATGGATTTCAACCATTTGAACCTTTCTGATTTAGTTTTTCAGTTATATTTTTCACCAGCTGCAGGCTAAACTCACTACATTTAGTACTATGTAGTGTTGTGGTACATGCATCATTTGTGATGCTTGACATTAAATATCACTAGATAGCACAGGGTTGAATTTCTGTTTTCATTTTCACTTTGACAGGCCTTACCTGATTGCGTCCTTTAAGTCCTCCTCCACTCAAATACATGTTTTTTGCTCATTGTTATTTAATTAGGCACAGAATGATGTACAGTATGTGCAGAGTTTAAAAGGCTGTTTTCACATGCATGTGCTAAAAGGGGGGGAAATTTCTCTGTGCTCACTTTGAATCTGAAATTATCATGACATCGCAACTAGTTTTGAAGCCAATCATGCTCCACTTACACACTTGTGAAGAAAGAATTTAAGAACTACATTTAAGGGGGAAGTTTTAAAATACAAATAGAAGGCATCTCTCATTGTCTCATTGTTTTAGTGTGTGTGTTGTTGTATATGAGTTGTGCTTTTGTTGGTTTGGTTTCATTTAAGCTCTGATACGTGATCTTAGTGCATCAGGATACTAAAAACCCTTTTAATTGAAAGTGACAGCTTGCTGAATGTATTGGTGAACAAAAGGGACAGTGACATTGAACCAAAAGGATTTTCCCTGGTGTCAGTGGTAGATTACATCCAAAGTGGCCTTTTGGTGCCATGCAGAACTTTTGTTTTTCAGGGTGTAATGTCTGGCTCCCAGGCTTCCTCTGAGCACTGCTGCCCCGGGTGGTTCATGGTAGACTGAGAGGTCTGACTCAGACTGGCTTAACTGCACCGTGCAGAAAAGGTCAGCATAATGCCAGCTGCCTGCCACATGCTGCGCCCAGGGCGGACATGATGCTGGCAGGGGAGAGGAAGAAGAGAGAGGGCCAAGAGCAGGATGCTAAACGGTGTTTCACTGTTTAAACTTCAAGGAATAGTGCCAAGATGGATGAGGATATTGTGTGTGTGTGTGTGTGTGTGTGTGTGTGTGTGTGTGTGTGTGTGTGTGTGTGTGTGTGTGTGTGTGTGTGTGTGTGTGTGTGTGTGTGTGTGTGTGTGTGTGTGTGTGTGTGTGTCTGGATATTGTCACAGTTCCACCACAACAAAAATCATCATTAAAAAGCACATATTCACAATCACACTCCTGACTGACAGCGCAATCAAAAAAGAATACAACTCAACATTCAGTCAAGTTAAACTGTGATTCCGTCATGTGTTTCCATTCATCATTGGTTTGTGTGATCCGCAGCCAGGAGGAGATGTAACTGTTGCAGGAGTCACAATCTTTAAAGAGCCAATCTGCAACTGCATGATGATGCCCCTAGAGAAATACTGTCTCAACCAGCACCGGCTTAATTTACATAATGGTTTAATCAGTTGAAGACCTCTTTTTCACAGAAATTCACTTTTTCCTTTTTGCTTCTCAGAATTCCCACAGCCTGTTCCCACACTTCACACAAGGCAACTCGCAGAATGTAGCCACTAATCCTGAGATTTAGGCCGCTTTTCGAGCTTTAACGTTGTTTGAGTTTTACATCAAAACATTAGACACTGTTGACACTGTAGCTGTTTATGAAAAATGTAAATTCAAATGATATTACTGTATCTTTGCTCACTGAGCTAAAGCTGCACTGTGACTCAGGACCCAAGGCTGCTTTTAAAACTTTGAAACAGGCTAAAAACCAGGATGTGGTATACATGAAATATCCAAACGTTATGTAACAATAAAGTATGAGGTTGACCTTGACATGGAGTGACTGGGTAAGAAATGCTTCACTCTGGAGCTACAAGGAAAATAATAAATGATTGCTATGGCATTTCAGATTCAGAGCAAAGAAGGAAAAGTGAAACTCAGAAAACCTTTCTAAATCACTTGTATGTATGTAAGACACTATGTAACGGATAACGATGCAAAAGAAGATTAATTATTTTGTGTAACCCTAAATTTAATCTTAAATCCTTGTTTTCTTCTGTTGTATGCTGGAGAGTAGGGGTGGGCGATATGGCAAAAATATCATATCACAATTTTTTAAAAATAAAATCACGATTTCGATTTTATCACGATCTTAAATTGGAAAAAGAAAAACAGACAATTTAGACCAAAGAACCTTTCTTAACAGATTTTATTTCAAATAGTCGCAGTTTTGCCTGCATGTGCAAACAACGTAAAGTTTAAGGTAAACAACAACAACATTCTGGTTCGTCGTGTTACCACCCGACGTGCGAACGGTTTCTCTGCAAACTTTGCAAATTACATTTGCTTGCGCTTGATCAGTTGCGGAAAATCCAAACCAATTCCATATAATGGAGGTGGAATTTTTTTTTTAGCGACCAACTCCGTTTGGCTTTCAGCCATCGCTCTCCATGTGCTACCGCTACACACATAAACAAGGAGGCGGGTAGGAAAGCGCGTCACTGCCCGTAATTCTCTATGATTGGTCGGTCAGGTTGACGACGTCAATACGTCTGGTGCGTCGGTGCATCAGCATAGAACTGCAATTTATAGAATGTGCCCTAGACGATCCCACGATCTCTGCAGTTTGAAAGATCGTCTTCACGTTGTAATCCTTCACGATCTAATATCGTCATATCGCCCACCCCTACTGGAGAGCCATTTGATCTTCCATGATCATGATGGATTTCTATTACATTTAATTTGCTGAGGCTTGTACATTTAATTTTCAAATAGTTGAAAAACG